AAAATTAATCATATCCTGAAGTTTTGAACTCGTTCTGATGTTTATTGAGCGAATAGTAAATCTTTTAATATTAGGTGAAAACAGCCGGGAAACCCAAATTTTCTGCTTATGAAAACATGCCCCCAAGTCTCCGCTTTCCTATGGCGAAGGCCGGAGCTCTCTAGCTGGCTTCTGTCAAAAGTTATTAAAAAAACAACGGAGTCCATTCTATTTTGGTACAGACAGTAACTCGTTAATATGTGGACATCGATTTATTTCATGAACAGTTAATGATAGCTCGTTTGTTGATATTTGTGCGTTTGATAACAATAATGAAATGAGATAATATGAACTAATAATATTCTGTTCATCATGCTGATTGTCTTATATTTAACCATAATCTACCTAATTGTACACAAACTTTATGTGAAAATGGTGCAACGTGTATACAAGATGAACGAACATGTAGTCCTAAATCAATATGTATTTGTCCCCGCATGTACGTAGAAAGTTTAAATGCTTAGATCAGAGAATGAGTATTGAGTCTCCGTATTTTACTTCTAAAAGTATTGTTTTGTTTTGCATTCTCTCGCATCTTGTATACCATTCTTTACGAGACACTTTATTTCTATAACTATCAAACTAAAAATTAGAGAAGGATATTGCAAATGTCTCAAGTGACTGCCTTCTGAACTGGATTTTTTGCATTAGAAAAAAGTAGCCTGAGTTTTAAATATGCATTTTCGCGTGGGAATTCATATACATTCAAAACTCAGAACAAATCGAGAATTTTTATCTCCAATGTCTTCCATTTTTGTAACAAATTGACTTATTCAGAAAAAGATGTTACTGATAAAATGATGAAAAAAATGGGGGCAGACATGTTTTTTCTCCTAAAGGTACTTTCATAAACTATCAAGAACAAAATGTGAAGATGCTGTGTTTTCTTTCTTACATCTCGTGATGTATCAAATATTGTTTTTCTTTCAGATCATAGGTTATTACGGTACATATTGCCAATTTCAAACAAGTATTTACGCGATTTCACTTGATTAGGCATGCAACGGTAACGATTATTTATCGGTTTTATCGCATCTTACCGATTATCGCTTCTTACCGACAATCGGTTAACCGATCATCAGTCCTTACCGATTGGCGTTATTATAGTTATTGCTTGTTACCGATAAAACCGATACGTTTCTCACGCTTGCGGAGCAAAATCAAAATCAAAATAGAGAAAGTGAGTTTGTAGCAAGGATAAACTCATCATCTTTTTCTTTTCTTTTCTTCTCTTCTCTAGCCTATCAGAGACGGCTTCTCGCATATATGCAGGTATATATATATGACTCTAGTTCAATTTATTCTTCGGTCAATTTTGATCCAAGTTTTATAAAACAGCTACCGTAAGACTCACAAGATTTCGGTCTAGTCACAGATGTAACAACAGTTCAAGGCTCGTACAGCGGAACCTTCCAAAGGACTCGATTAAAGTCAGCACATTTTTTTGCTATTTCAATAATATTAGCATACGTCATTGACTTTAATCGAGTCCTTTGGAAGGTTCCGCTGTACGAGCCTTGAACTGTTGTTACATCTGTGACTAGACCGGAATACTGAGATACTTTACTGAGATTTTTACTAAAAAATGAAAATCAATAAAAGCTTTTCAAACATACATCGTTCGACTCAATTTTCGACGCTGATCCTGAATACGATATTTTAATTGCATACAAGTTAAGTTCTTATGAAGACAACAGTGAATTACGTGGAGACTTTTTCCTTTCCCTCCTAATTTAGAAAAAATGAATTTTTCACGGAAGAGTAAAATAGAGAAAAAGGAGATGCATACTTTTAAAACTGGTACAATAGCAGTTCTAATGAAGTAAAACGGTCGGCTTCATCTCTTCACAAAAAGAACTGTAGTTCTTTAGATAGGCCTACAGAAGAAGCATGTAGTGATTATTTTCTATTAGACGTACGTGTGAATAGGAAGAAGATTTTTTGAAAAAGTTCTTTTACCCAAAAATTCCTTCTCTTCTCTACTATCGAAAAATACTATTCTGAGTTTTTCCAATGGTTTTGATGAGGTTAGAAGAATTTTCTTTTTATCGTAGAAATATTTTTTGTCGAAAAACATATAGACCTCTCTATTGTTATCGTTTATCAAATGGTTTATCTATGGTTGAGAAACCAAAGGCGGAATGTTTTGAGAAGAATGGCGTGAGAGAGCTTGATTTAGACTCTCATCTTTTCAGTGTTTATCTCTACCAAAGAAAAATGTATAAAATCTGCTCTTTTACGTCAATTTTTGTAACAGTTCTTGACATTTTGAGATCAATCAAAAACGCTTTAAAAAGAAACCGAACCTGAGATAGAGTCTGAAGTATCTGTGGTAAAATTTTGAGCTCGATCAAACCATTTTTTCGAGGGGTCGTACTGTGTGCCAATTGAAGGAACTATTAAAAAACGCATAGTGAGAAAAACACATATTGTACACACGACTCTGTTTTTCAGGACATTTGTGGCAATGCTTATATCTCTAAGAAAACTCATTGGAAAATTCTTGAAAACAGCTATTATTGAAGAGCACACTTTCTTCTATCATGCTATATATAAGAAAAAGCTTATAGAAAAGGAGAGAAAAATTTAGGAACCTAAAAATTGAGATTTTCTAGGGTTTGAAGGAAAAACTTAAAAGCTTCGTAATTTTTTCAAAGAAGGCCATGGAGAGCTGGAAGTGATCTCATTTTATAGCCCAGACTTTCCTCTACATTAGACTACGTTCAACTCAAAATGATAATTTTTTTGCAAAAAAAGAGGCGGGGGGGGGGGGGGGGGGGCGGGCCCCGATTAAAAAACGCGGTGCGCCAGGAAGTGTTGTCGGGGGGGAAGAATTTGTTAAAACTGCACAAAAAGGGCCGTTTTTTGACNCCCCCCCCCCCCCCCCCCCCCCCCCCCCCCCCCCCCCCCCCCCCCCCCCCCCCCCCCCCCCCCCAGGTACCCTTAAATAGAACGGAGTCTGCCTGCATTCTTGAGGCTGGGTCTGAATATGATAATCATCGTACTAAAGGACGCTTTTAGATCCGAATGGAAAATTTTATTCGTCGCATCAGTTTCTCAGATTGATTATTTAAGCATACTGTTAAACAGCTGTGACACTCAAATGCAGATCATTTTGCAAGCAATTAGTATCAACACGTCTTCTATTTCACTTCCAGATTCAATATTGGTTGTAGGACAAAATGAGTTTAGACTTCCATAAGAATTTTACTTTACCTTACCTACTAACGCTGGAGAACTACTAGACTTACGATACGGCTCGCGTATGTGTTGGCATCCCTTCTGATTGTCAGCCAGGCTCCGGACTGCTCGTTCACAGCGAGAACAGCATGAGAAAAGCCTTCGATGTACAGCGTCGAAATATTTCTTCACCTCATACGTAGCAAATTTTCTCTTCATAGTCCGGTTCTGCAATTTCTCCGTTTTTACTGCTATATCTCTACAGTTGGTTGTACTTTCAAACCGATAGAGACGATGCAAGTTATGAAAAACTTCTCAAATGGCTTCCTTTTACGTCTTCTGATTTGATAGACGAAAAAACTTGGATACACGCACAACTTGACATGCTCTACAATCTAGATACAAGAAAAATAGCTTGGAGAAAAAATTATTTTGAACTGGAAAACCGGTTTTCTAGAGAAACAGGTCTCCGAAAACCTCTATACCGCTACGATCATGAGATTCGACATCAATATCATCGATAACATATGCCTATGTGTGTTTCGACTAAAAAGCTCGGGAACACGTGGGATCTTTCCCTCGTTAGATTTGCCTTATATTGTAGAGGACAGTTTGGACCACGTTCCATACATGAGAAGCATAGGTATTGCTGTGGGTATTGTTTGAAGCACAAAAATTTATTTAAAAATCGATGAATTGCAACACCTTTAGGTGGTGCTGGACTTAAATTATTTCGTAGATTCTTGTTCGCCAAAGCCCTCTACAGAATCTTTATCCGCAGATCTCTTTCGCTTTTCATTAAAACGTTATTTGAAAAACACGTGAGTGCAATAGATGATAGTTTTTCAATCATGAACAAATACTTGTTTTAGGATACTGGTGGATTAGCTGATATTATTGACATAGCCTATAAAGTTGTTTATCCATCAGACAGAAAGTTAAAGTAAGAACTGGATACGACGATCAAAAAGATGGAGTGTAATTCAATCAATAAACTTTCATAAAAACTTCTAAAAACTTTTATGTGTTGAATTTATATAGAAAAACAGAATTCAGGAATGAAATCCATGATGAGATCCGAACGAAGATCCAGACAAGGGTCACAATTAGTACCGACGAGAATATCGAAGAAGATAAAGCACTATTAAGCTTTCTCACAGACCAAACAACTGAAGAATTTATTAACAAGATCATAAAATCACAAGGTTATTTTCTTATTAATATACTTGAATATGACAATGTAGATCATCCATCAAGACGGTCCGCAGTTCGGGAACACTGGGCATTTTCCAGCATAATATGTAGACAGGTCAGTTATTTTTCATTTCACCTTTTTATCACTAATACGATCTGTTAACATTCAATAGTTTCGCTTTCCCGGAAAAAGCAGAATTGATAAAAAATCTTTTTTGTAAAATAACATAAAAGAACTTACGGGAAAACCCAGCGGAAATTTTTTTCTCCTGAACATAAGAAGTCGTACTTAACTCCACACGCTGGCTCTCCAGAAAAAGATCTGCCATGTTCACTTTTTCAATGGCTTTAGAAGGTAGATACAGACTTCAGGTTTTCACCATTTAATAATTAACGACTTACATCTTTTAAACTCAGATTTTCAGATAGCGCACTTGACATATTTTTGAAAAAGAGACCGCCAAGTGCGCACTTTTTTCGGCTCTGCAACGATTTCTGTGTCCTCTATGTATATCAGATAGCCTGAACTGCCCTCTGTCAAACTGCGCAAGCTCGGCGTCACTAAAATCATCATTTTCGAGATATAGCTAACCGTTGACACCAGTACGTTTCCTCGAAGACAAACGTTTTTTAGCCGGACGAACATCAGTCGTTGATCCAGCTCTTTTATCTGGTGACACTGCTCGGTTTCGAGAGGAAGCTGGAGGTGATGATTGTTCATTGCTAATTCCCATTGAAGTTCTTAAATTATTTCTTTGCTCAGTCTCTTCAACTACCTGATTATCGTCAAATTCATCGTCATCTTCCTCCTCCACTTCGTCTACAACTACTGTTTCTGTTTGCTTTTCACGTATCGCCTTAAAATGTGAAAAAACCGATCTGATCAGGCCAGGTTTTAAAAACTCAGCCGGTGTGAAATGGAATCTATCCTTCAAATCGTTCTTTCGTGGCATTTTAGCTGATACTTCCTCTGGTTTCCATCGAATTCTCTGTTGTACACCCTCATCGAACTTCTCAGTGAGATATTGTATCTGAGATTCATTCAGACGTGACACTTTCGTTCTTTTGGCAAAGCCTATCCTCGGTAACGTGGTGTAATACGGTTTGTATCATCACCATCATCAAGTGTAGTCTCTTCCAATTGAAGATAAATCATTGATCTTACTCCAATATTTTCCAGTTTCTAGTGATAGATAGCCATACCCATGTCCCTCATGGAGCTACATTCTATTCGACGTCGATGTTTTCCTGTACGTAAATGTTGGGTTAAATTTACGTATCTGATAAACGAAACTACACATCCCTCTTTGGGACAGTCATACAGCTTACTTCTGTTAGCCTGAGCCGCCGATTAGACTGTAGTTGTTGTGGTAATCGAGGAACGGAAAATTCTCTATGGTCGTCATTTGTAGATAAATCTTTCCTATTTCTTCATACTATCTCCTTGATGTGGCCCGGTCAAAGCAGGACGAAAAGGATGTTTACTCGTTAGTTATCAATATAAACAGGGTCTAAAATGACAGATGTCTCGAAGTCGTCTACGATAATTATTTCTAATATAGAAAGAAGTCCTTGAATAATTATCATTTCGCGTGAAAGTTCATGGTAGATATGTGTAATAGCGCTTACCTTACAAAAGAATATTTTACGAAATTAACAATGATTTAACGAGAGAAGTAAAATTAAGGTGAAAAGTGACAGTACAGAGAATAAATAGTGGGATATATTATCTTTTTGAATGTAAGAAAGTAAATATAGCAACATGGAAATATTTACTAAACTTTATCAGCAAATATAGTCTAGTTTCGCTTTCACCATGCAATTCCGCTAATGTTATCATCATTATATAAGCATAAAAATTATTCTTATATTGTAAATACAAATCCAGTTAAAACTGTTGAAATATAACAATGCTCTCTAACTGAACCAATAGAATAGAGAATGATTCCAATGTTATTGGATGCATTGCAACAGCTAGTTCTCTATATTGGAAGTATAGAGTTATACAAATGAGCTATTCTACACTCTAAAGGAGCGAATTGCTCTCGCTCCAAGATACTTCCGCTTCTTTTTATTTTGTTATACCTAAAATTTATTTGCAGTAACGACAATTTGTGTGCGAGTGTGAGAGCAGCTTGAAGAGAGACTTCAAGTTTGCTTTTCGTATGGAATACAGCTTTAGTCCTCAGACAACATTTTACACAGACACGAAAGCAGTGAGAGTCGACCAAAAATTGATTATTGACATAGAACTTCATGGTTAAATTGGTTAAACGTAAGAAGATCGTGGAGTTATTATGAGTAATTCTTTCGCATTCTATAGTCAACGGAAATGTATTGATTGTTACAGAAAATCAAAGAAATTTCAAAATAGAGCTCTATTGTCTAATTCTGTTAAAAGAAATTTTCCAGCACCAGCAGACACCTGTTTCATTTTATTGGTTCTGGAATTCTCTGGAAAGATCAAAATTTTGGTGGATGTTTTGGTAAATGTCGTCAAAATCGCTCGGAAACTTTTGATACTGGCAAAAATAGTATAAAATCGAAGAGTGAGTATTTTGAGCTCTCCAACCACCTGTTCATCTTAGTAGCATAGTAGATGAACATTAAATGTTTGTTTAATGGATACTTATCATTCTTGAATTATTTTAAATCTTCAAACTAACGAAGACAAACATTTTACAAAATTTATCTTTTTCTGAAAATTTGGCTTATGAGATCCAAGTTAAGGGCTCTTGACTAATGCTTACTGTCCGCCTAACTTAAGCTAAACATTTAAGCTCGAAACGTTGAAGCTTTGGCGTGTTGTTGCGTGGCAACGCGCAAAATGGGGCCCTTAGTAAAAGCGTTAAGGGTTTTTGATTGGAAGAAATAGAAAGCTGCTCTCAGATGAAAGTGGACACCTAAATCTAAAATTTGATCTGCATCGATTATTAAATTTCTCTTCCGTTTATTCCGACACGGATTTTAAATCAGAACTCTGAAAATAACCCTAATTCGGCGGAGTATTTGCCACTTATTTCTGCACAGAAAAGGAAACTCAAAAATCGTTGCGGATCAAACTTTAGATAAATGTCTTAGCTTCAAAATAAAATAAAAATGAAGCTTTTACGATAAATCGTCTAGGAGGAGATACAATGTTGCTGCGCTAAAACCATGTTCTGAGAAAACGTTCGACAAATATGAAGAGCATAGTGACAGGAGATTGAAGGTTCGGTATGGGAGTGTGATACATACTTATTAAGCAAAATGAAAGCTCTTTCCATTCAGGAATAACCGGCTGAATTACATTTAACCTTTTCAAAACATGTATTGTGGCGTGATATGTGATTGGTTTTTTTTTATGTTAATATCGATAATATTCAAACTACAACTACGTCATCTAGATATATTTGAAAATAGTATTTGTACTTCAGTGAAAGCGTTTGAGACGATATTCGTTCCTAGCTTTTTGATTCATGGTTTACGGTATGAATGACTAAATGAATTCTTTTTTGTAGAGAAACACATGGAAATTACAAGAAAGCTTGTTCAAATGTAACACCAGATAAAATAAAAACTCATACTCACACACGCGCACCAAAAGTTTAGACAGTGAAAAGATGTTGTTTTAATACAGTTGTAAATGCTCTTAGCGTATTCCGATGAACACCAGAACAAGGCAATTTGTTCCAGTCATCTATAGTTTGCGATGAACAATTCAAGTATAGATAATAATAAGAAGTCCACCTATTTATTTTCAAACAACACATAGACGTTTCGTTGCCATTCAAAAGGCATCAACAGTCAAATGGCTACAGTCAAATGGCTAAAAAAAGGGGATAAAAAACTTCTATAGACGTCGGACAAGTTGCCGCAAAAATCTTTCTCGTAACTATATATATCTTCTTTTGGAGGATTAGAATGAGATCAATGTTCTCTGTCAGAAAGCTATATTATGAAACAAGAAGACCACAAAATGTCGTTTACACTTGATCGTTCTTTTTCTTAAATATCTCAAAAAGATGTTCTTACTACTATCTGGTGGTTCAATGCTAGAATGCTCGGCTGCCATGCGGGCGACCGCCGGGTTCGATTCCCGACTGATGCAATGCTTTTATTTTTTTGATCTTTCTAAATAAAACGTTGATGTGCATATCACGTCGGTATCGTGTATCCAAGTGTAAAACAGAGGTAGGTACAAGCGTTTGGCTCGTCTTCGGCACCTATTTCTCACTTATGTATCACAGTGCTAACGCCACACTATAGAAACGAAGTATCCATTTCTTCCCAGCATACGCAGGAAAGAAAAAATACTTTTTCTTCCAATATATCAATCCCTAATGGTAAGAAAACCAAATGTGGGCTTAGTACCGTGTCGCCATAGTTCCGAAAGATTTTTCAGCTCTGCCAAGCAAGAAAACGTAGAAGTGTATGAAAAAATAGGAGATAAAAGTGAAGTTACTAACCTTTGTTTCAAAATCTCGGTTTCAAAAGACTATCGTGACGTATAATGGCCATTAAACATAATTTCAAATTTTCGAACATAAGTCAGAAAAATTTCCCGCTAATGATGAATCGAATAGTGTACAGAGTGCGCACACTCAACAAATTCTGGCTGAAAATGTTGCTAAGTCTTAACTTCCATTCTGTCTTCTTGACTTTCTCTGGATGATCTCTCGAGCTCAAATTTAGCCTAGCAAAACTAATAAAATAATAAATTACTTACAAATGGTTAATTTAGTTTTTAATAAAGACGGATATCGTAATAATCAGAGATAATAAAGAAGGATATAACACAAATCGCACACATAGATGCACACTATTTTGAATTTTAGCTCTTCTCTCACACACAAAAAAATTAAAAAGTTCGACTGTTTTTATAGTGTTTAACAAATACTAGAATGAAAGAGAGAAAATAGCTGAACATACGCAGAAGATCATATGCAAAGAATAAGTAGCAATGAAAGGTCTCGCCTGCACAAAAGAAAAAAATAACAATAAACAATGTAGAAAGAAAGTTATATGATGAGACTGACCAAAAGACCGATCAGGTTAACTGATAGTAACAAAGAATTACTCAAAAAAGAAAAGCTGTTTCAGAGCATTAAGTCTCTAGACTTAAGAAATGTCTCTTTATGCCGTTAGAGAGTCATCACTCGTTCCGTCATATCATTTGACTGTAGGCTATGACATCTCGGTTGCACTTCGACAAATATTCCTACTCTAATACAAACACTCTGGTCCCATCTGAATTAGGTAATATTCCATTGTTATGATAAGATAATTTGACTCTTATCTTATTCACTGTTGGATATTCTTGTATATTATCAATAATGGATGTCAGCGCTTGTTCAATCTCTGTCGGAGTTAATGAACTGTGTTTCATTGCTTGATTTTTAAATTGAGCAGCTATAAATTGACAACTACCACCGCTTAAACCAACAAACCCCTTACCCAGGCCAATTGTTAAATGTTGTTCTAAGCAGCTATTCTACTAGAACGTTCGTTTTGAGCTAAGCTGGGGGGAGCGAATGAGTCAAATTAGATGAAAAATCGCAGATGAAACAACGAAGTAAAAGATTCCACTAAAGCAGACTAAAAGGATTGTAAGTTTCTTTAACTTTAACAGTAGTAACCATCGTAGTCAGTTGTTTCACATTTTAATGGATAATAATTTTCTATGTCTTCTACCAACTGGGTGCTACAGTACTTCAAAATATACTGGTCTCCGTCAGTTTCTAGATAACGTTTAAACGCTTCATCCTCAGATCGCCAAGGCTGTTGGTGGAGCTAGTTTATCGGAATGTATTGAATTAGACCATGTGTAAGCTGTTTCTGGTTACCAAATCACTTTTTTTTCTGAAGAAACCTTTCATAAGCTTTCAAATCTGTATAGTTCCAAAGTGAAAAGAAACAGTGATCAATGCACTTAGAATCCGTAGTCCAATCTGTACCACATTTGTTACTGGTGCACAGAAACAAATAAAAACTTATCCTGAATTACTGTGATTGTTGCCACGTAAAACCTCTATGTTAGCACAAAAAATCGAAAGTGCGTAGATGATTACATCATTTTCACTTATAAACGCCTGAGTTTCAAGGCAAGAAGAATATTGAAATAAAATAATTAGCGTTTTTTCTATATAACGTTTCTATAAAACAGCTTACATGTCTTATTTGTTTCAGTATTTCGGTTCTCCAGCAATTCCGATAAAGTCGTTTTCTGAACGTTTTTTTATGGCTGGCGTGTTGATGATCAAATCAGACACCAACGATTTTCGCCAAGAGAGGACTCTGTTGGTGGCTTTTCGTAAAGAAACTTTAAATTTTTTCCTTAGACAGAGTTTTGAAGGGTCTATGGAAAGCCCACTTGAGTTTCCAAAATTCGACATACCAAAATATGTTTCGTTGAATAGGTGCTACAAAGTGTTGGCTGAAAACTGGACTCTTAGTCTATCATGGTTTAGGCATGGCATTGGGTTCGTTAGGAGCCTCTAGACTGGTGTGACATGACCTGTGTGAACCTCAAATACAACTGGAATATAAGCTGTCGATCACATTAAGTCTCGTGAAAATGTTTGTTTCTATTAAACGTTGTGAAAATCTACTTTGGATAACACCCTTTAGGCTTTTCATGAATTGAAAAATTCATAATTCACTCAAAACTGGTTCTACGTATTTTGAAATCTTGGAATATACTGTACTTTGTTGATTTCCTTGATGGTGAGATTCAAAGCTTGAAAGCCTCTTTATTCTTCCAACGTTTTCCAAAAGAACCTTTTAGTTTCTTCTGGTTTTCTTTGCCTACGTTTATCAACATGTGAAGTAACTAAAACAGAGTTCTTATTCTTGGAAAAAGAGAATTTTAGGAAACAACTGTTTCTGTGTTCCCTATCAATTGGTAAAAATAGTAGCTGTCTGGTTTATTCCGTTCAAACATTATCGAAAAATTAAAGGAAGCCACTCTACTTCTAAAAGGATAGTGATACTAGATGAAGATACCAAGACTTTTTCCATTATCATCTATGAAATGACAATATAAAAGTTTCATACAGGGTGGGCATGACTGCAGGCAATAAGTTGTTTCTTTTTCAATGCATGTCGTATAGAGATAATCTCTAATGCCTTCAAAACTTGTTGTATTATTGATGGATCAATATTTGTTGGTGTAGTCGTCGACGCTTTACGATAAAATTCACTTGGATCGAACTGAATAGAATTATTTTGAATATTCTGCATCATTACATATTCAAACATTAATTTCATTTGATCATCAGCAGCAGCCATTATTATAGTTTAGTAAAGTCTTCTGTTCAAAATAATTTTTTATTCTATCACAATAAGTGACAATATCACTAAAAACAGCAACACCTTTATATATATTTATTGTGTGATAAGAACGAAGGGAAACATATGAGTACATACATGTAAAGTAATATGATACAATCAACAACATACCTTCTATCATATATTTTTATTTTCTAACGCTTACGAAGCGTATGTTTATTAGATGCATAGGAAGTATCTCGTGTCATATATGCTCTAGAGCATACATGAGACGAAAATACAGTTGTATTTGATGATGAATGCGTCAAATGTCATTCTTCTCATATTTTTTTTCTTTCTTCAGCATGTGAGTGAGAAAAATTTTTTCCTCGGTGATAAACAATAGTCCGAAATTTTAATGTAAAAGAGGCTTATCTCTTCAATGTAAACAGGCAATCTCCTGCTATATTCTTTTTTAAAATTTAGCCAGTAACCAGGAAAAAACGACTAGTACTCGAGTCAGGTCCACTATTTTATGAAACTCGAGGCGCAAGACGAGAAGACATTTCACCTAGTAAAATGGAAGCCATCAAAAACGAGTCTACGCGTAGATATAGATGAATATCGTTCTCTTTCGCTGGTTTTGCTGAATGAAAGAAATCGGTCACACATCTATGTACAGAATAGTACAAATTTTCATTTTTTATTATTACACAACCTCACACAATTTAAAGTGGGTCACCTTGATCACCAACTATGTTTAGACAATGATCACAAAAAAAGTTACTTTTGATCACCAACTTTTTCAGCATGACACATATTCATTGAAATATTAAGGGTATCCTCTGTAACGGCTCATCGCCATTACATTATTCTCCATGCTTGATCTTATCGCAGTTTCTAGAAATTCTTAAAACTTCAAAGTTTCGCGAGTTTTAGTAAGAGAGATAATAAAAGAAAGAAATTATTTATAATTTATTAATTTAAGGGTCCCCCCTCTTTTTTGTAAAAATTTTCGATTTTGAGCTGAGCATAATCTAACGTAGAGGAAAGTGTGGGCTACAAAATAAGGCCACTCTCAGTACTCCACGAATGTTTTTTGAAAAGTTATCGATTTTTGAAGTTTTTCCTTCAAAACCTAAAACAACGCAATTTTTTAGTTTCATAAACTTTTTTCTCATTTTCTGTACATGTAAAATTTTTCTTACGCGTAGTCTGATAGAATAAAGTGTTTTCTTCACAATGAGATGTTTTACAGAATTTTCCGGTGAGTTTTCGCGGAGATATAAGCATCGCGGCAAATGCTCTGAAAAAAGTGACCTATGTACAAAATGCGTTTTTTCTCGAAAACTGTTTTTTTGCTATCAGGTTTCATTGTGCCACATTACGACCCCGCTTAAATTTCATCCGATGGAGTTCAAAATTTTTTCAGAGGTAGTCAAGACACTATTACAGAGCTATTTTTCGGAATTTTAATTTAGACTTTTCTTTACCGAGTTATAGGGTTTCCAAAATTGAAAAACTTGGTTTTTCAGACGTTTTTCAGTATTTTCCCTATAACTCGATCAAGAAAGGTCTGAAAAAAATTTCCGAAAATTTTGCTCTGCGGAATGACCTTGAGGAGCTCTGGTAAAATTTTGAACGCGATCGGATGAAATTTAAGGGGAGTCGTAATGTGGCACAATGAAAAGCCGAGTTGTCTGAAAAACTGGTGAACAGCAATACTTGAAAACTTGAAACAAGAACGAAAAAGTACGGAAAGCCCAAAAAGAGGGGAGGAGTACCCTTAATACAAGTCGCTTTCGGAGAACAAAAACGAAAAACAAGTCATAATCGAAAGTAAATTTCGATTCTTTAATCATTCTTGTAAATTTTCAACTCCAAATTCAGATCTATTCTTCTTAACTTTAACCTTCAAGTTAACATCTGTCTTTCATTCTTCTCAAATTCAAATACATATCTCTTCCCTTCTTCTTCTCTCACATTCAGAGAAGGAGTAGCGCAATTGTTCATTACATCTTCTTAAATTCTCATTAAAACTAAATAATAGGTCTTATTTACAAAATATAATTTAATATTTTTGTTGTAATTGTACTTCTAATACCGCAATAATTTCCGTTTGCATATTCTCTTCCTCACTCCTTCTCTTCATCAACATTAGCAACTATTAACATCCAATTATTACATTAATTGAAGGGAACGAACTTTCATTACTGTTAAAATTATTTGTATTGGTTACTAGTTGGTAATAAATTGTTGATTTACTGGGATTCTGAACTGGGATTGTTTTGTGAGCTGTTAGCACAGGGGCACCTAACGCTTACACCCCCTCCCTCTTTTTTTACCCTCTTGGAAACCGGGGAAGTTGATGTCTGGTCGAGGCGATAGATATACCAGACATAGAACATCGAAAAAGAAAATCGACGTATTTTTACCCAGAATTTTCTGACGTGTTCTTCTGTGGGTTTTCTCAAAAACTCCAGTTTTCATCGGCACACATTGTGACCCCTCGTAAAAATTGTCCGAGAGAATTCAAACATTTACCACGAATACTTCAGACCTTATCTCAGGTTCGACCTTTTTCTTTTCGAAAAATATTGTTTCCTTCTCGAGATATTCGAAAAAAACTGAAAATCTCATATGAAAACCTTTTCAGGTCGAAAGTCGAGATCGAAAACGCTTTAAAAAAATGAACCTGAGATAGGGTCTGAAATATCTATGGTAAAATTTTGAGCTCGATCGGACCATTTTTTCGAGGGGTCATAATATGTGCCAATTGAACGGACTGTCAGAAAAAAGGCTTAGTGAGAAAAACACATATTGTACACAGGACTGTGTTTTTCAGGACATCTGCGATGATGCTTATATCTACATGAAAACACATTGAAAGATTCCGGAAGGCATCTCATTTAGACGAGCACGCTTTCTTCTATCATGCTATGTAGAAAACTTTTACGCTCGTTTATTAAACTTGCGTACTACATATCGTCATTATGAACAAAAATCAGTTAATGAGAAAGTTTTACATCAGCTCTCTTCAGAACAACTGCAAGTGGCATCTCAATTGCGTTCAAGTGCTGTTAGTTTTAAAAAAAGTTCGATGAAAAGAATGAAGGAAGTTGGAAAACAATATCGTACATATTTGAAGGCGTTGCGTAGTCTCGCAAATGATAAAACAATTGTTATAACTATGCCAGATAAGGGCAAGGGAGTGGTTATTCTCGGCAGAAAAGAATATATAGATAAAATGAATCAGATATTAAATGATACTACAACATTCTCTCGTATCTATCATGATCCTACAATCTACAATGAGGACAAATTGATCAGAACTCTACTAAGACTTAAAGAAGAGAATTTTATCACAGACGAAGAGTATAAACTGGCTCGACCCACAGGCTCTAGACCTGCAAGAATTTATGGATTGCCAAAGATACACAAACCAAACATACCTCTTCGACTTATTCTATCGGCTACAAAAACAATTGCCTATGGACTAGGGAAAATATTATCTATACGTTTAGCCCCTCTTCGAAATAGTCCATTTGTTGTTCGAGACACTGGAGATTTTGTCAAAAGAGTTTCAGCTTTGAGTTCGGAAGATGTAAAAAAGAAAATGATTTCGTTCGATGTCACATCACTTTTCACGAAGGTTCCTCTCACGTACACGATCGAATTGATACTAAATGAGTTGTATCCTGAATGTACGGAAACTTGTCGAGGAAAACCGAGAACGAAACAATGTTCGGCATGCAAAGATCATACAAATTTTGAGACTCTGTTCCGATCAGCAACATCCGAAGGACATCCGTTTTCATCTAAATATCAAATTCACCGTTGAAGTTGAGCAGAATGATCAGTTACCATTTTTAGATGTGAATGTAATACGAACTACAGAAGGTACTAAATTTGAAACAACAGTATTCAGAAAAAAGACATCCACAGGGCTCATGATTAAATGGTCTTTCGTTCCGTTCGACTATAAAAGAGCAGCAGTTGTTAGTATGGTGCAGAGAGCGTTATTGATTTGCTCTAACTACTTCCTGCTATCTAGTGAATTTGAGAATATTCGTATAATATACACATTGCTGAACAGAATGGCTATCCTCTCTCATTCGTAAATACACGTATTGGGATTGGTCTAACTAAATGGCTCATAAAGAACAATATCGAAAATACTAACATGCTAGTGGAGCCAACCAGAAAGAAGATGTATGTTGAGCTATCATATGTTGGTAATGGCACAAATGTTCTACAGAAAAAACTAAAAGTATTATCAGGCAGAATATGGCCTGATGTCGAACTACGTTTCTATTCTAAACCGCCACCATCATCTCAGTCATTTTTTCAATTAAAAGACAAAATACCGAAACATCTGCAATCTGATATTGTCTATTAGGCTAAGTGTGATGAATGTGATGATAGGTATGTTGGAAAAACAGGACGACAATGTCTGCAAAGACTTCAAGAACATGGTGCTCCTAAACAACTCCTTGATGAACTAGGTTTTCAATGGATATATGATGAAGAAGGATCTGATGATAAGAAGGATAGTACGGACGAGCTGCAAGACTCGATCGGTCCAATTAGAAGGAGAAAGAAGGTTAAAGCGATTACATCTTACTCAGCTCCACGTCGGTCGTCTCGGTTACGTGATAAACAGTTAAGAATGTCCCAGACAACTGAACCTAATGACACACAACTGTTTGTTCCACAATTAAACTCAACGACTACCAATGGAAATTCTACCAGTAGTGAAGATGATAAGAGAACTAAATCGTCTTTAGCAAAGCATGAAAGTGAAACAGGACACAAAATCGATTGGAAAAACTTTGACTCTATTGATCATGATAATCATTCGTACTATTTACTCATAAAGGAAAGCCTAATGATTAAGAAACTACAACCTAAATTAAATTGCACAACTCACTCTGTTCCGATGATCATCTTTCCGGAAGGTATAGTTCGGAAAAAGGAAAGAGACAAAAATAAGTAAATGTGATGGCCAAGATGAGATAGACTATACGCACGTATGTAGCAATGTCAATCTTTTTTTCTTTCTTATTCTTTGGCTTATTCTATTTCTTGAATAGATTACAAAGTAAGAAGAGAAAGATAGTAAGAAAAGAATAGAAAGTACAAGAACTGCGCAACATATATATATACAATTTTAGACCTTGTATTTTTATATCCTTGACAATGATTTTTTAATAAATCGAAACGTCAGAATTTAAAATAGAATAAAATGATTCACACTGCTGCTGTTGTCACGCTTTTTCTACTGAAAATTCTACCTCTTAGAAATAATAATGTTTATTTTTCAAAAACCCTGTTTTTTTGAAATTTTTGACACCTTCTGAGTATTTTGAGGCTAACTACGCGAGGAAAGGGTTTTGGGAGCCTTTGTGTTATATGTGCATCTTACCTCGCAGAGTACTCAAGACCGTATTCTTGTGACTGAGTTTTTCCGCTTCATATTTCTTGTTCAACTGTTAAAGGGGAAGGCACCTATAAGATACTAGGACACCGAAACTTTGACTAGCATATGGTTAGCGCGAACGCTGACCCTGCGTAATAAATTGAGCTTTCGCCTCGTCCTTGCACAAACGTCAGTCTGACCGAAGTGCAATGATACAGGCCTCCATCTCGGAGCTCAGTCTCGGTGTTCACTGAAGGCTCCAAAGCAAAGTAAGTATGAAACGGAATCTATTTTGATCGTTTATATATATATTCTTGAACGAAAAACAAAATGGTGAAACTATACTTGTAATGAAAGGAATGTTTTCTCTCTCTCCGTACAACTCTTTTTCTTTTCTGTTCCATCACCACAAGCATGTGTCACGCTTGTTCTGTTTCTAAATGATACACTCTATGAAGAGCTGATGACTCATTCTGTCTACTGCACAAGTTTTGCAGTAGTGTGTAGTATAAAAGAATCTGATAGTCTCACAAAAAGAGCATACTTACCTGCCAGAGGCGGAAAGAACGATCAGCAATGTTCTTCCCCAAGGTCGAGGGCCCTGCCATTGCACATCGGTGGATCTGAAACTTGCGATAAGCTCTCAAATTGAGGCTTACTCGGCTGGAAAATTTATTCCACAGGAGATGCGTACGCGCGTCTCCTTTCAAACGAATGGAAATGAAGTAAAGATAAGTAAAACACTTCATCTTTAGTCGTTAAGTCCTCTTCCATAGCCAGAATTCGATCGCCGTTTTATCAATATTTGTCTCTCTAGCTGTTCTTATCAGTTTTATCAAACTTCAAGAGACTTCTTACAGTTTTCCAAATACTGAAAGATTAGTTTTCATCTTCATTTTCAAACCATCATGCTTATAATGGAGATAATTCATTATTAAAGAAACGGTGATAAATTAGAAAATCAATCAAACGTAAACAAAATGACTGGAACAACATCTAGCAGAGCTATGTTTAAGATCATTGTATTGGGTCCGAGATGGCATATGACAAGGCGATGGTAAAATAAAAGAACAAATTTGAAGGATGACGATGAAGAACAAGACACTGCACTAGGATTGATCAGTCTTTTTCTCCAATGAACCGATATAAGTGTCAGGTCGGAAAAGTAAGTCAGAAAATTGAAATAAATAAAACTTATAAGTTTTAAATTTGGATTTTTGATTTAAAAATTTTCTATGTCTCATGGATGAAAAGTAGCAATCATAAGGAAGAAAAGTAGCAATTCTTAAGTAGCAAACTTTGGCCCGCGCTCGCAGCCAGGATAGGTGTCATTCCACTTCACTGACTCCACAGAGAGCCGAAGCGCATCTACCCATGTGGCTCTATGCCCGTCACACTCACTATATGTACGTACGTCCGTCACACTCATTAGTGACTATATGTATGTACGTCTGTCACACCTTTGTATGGACATACACACACACACACAAACACTGCATTTTTTATGACCATAGACTTACAGTCGATGGAATAAGATACTTCTGCTTATTTCACAATGAGACAGTAGACAAATGGGGAGTCACGCTCTCTGATATATTACTCAATCACTTGTTCCTTGATTGAAAGAATCAGTCCGTAGCACGAAACAATTCTCATCATAAAGAAGGGCATAATAAGAGAGATTGCCCAAAGCTATAGTTAAATATGTATCAGCACAAGCGGTGAACGCACACTTCAGTGGGTCTTCGAATAAAAGAGTAATCCACAGAAAAATTCCAAACATAACATGAGCCGCCCGAATAAAGTTACGGGCTGAGAGTACATTCTCATCTGAATGAAAATATCACTCAAATGTGATATTTTCTGTTCGTCTTTACAAATACAGAGTAAAACAAACGTCACCCTTCTCGAACACCGTGTACTAACAACTCCGCATAATACCACCCCAACAATAAATTATCATAAAGAATTAAATAGCCGGAATATCGGCCAATCGGCCGATATGATTGGACGTTCATAATAATTACCACATCGATCGAAGTGTTGCATTAGCTGACGCGAGAAAACAAATTCGAAGAGAAATGGAGTATACTGCCAATTCAAACTGCAGCAGAAATTTTCTTGTTCAAAAAGAGGGAAAGAGAATCTCTGGCAAAGAGGAAACATACTGAAACACAATATACCCATGCCCCTTGAAAAAACCACATAATACTATAACTAGAAGCTCAATCGTGATATTTTTATCGTGGTTTTTAAAAACCACCATAATTTTCCTCGGAAATTATCGAGATGAATCAGTTATCTTCGGTAATCTTACTAGTTACTGCTATGTTCTTTCATATCGAGACAAAACACGAGAAAATTAATCTCCTCATTCATAGGGATAAAAATTTAATCGCGATACTTTTAGCTTCTTGTCGATGACCCTTTTATCACGATAATACTCGATAAAAATCTATTGGAGTTTATCGCGATACTTTTGCTTTTGGAGATAAAGATCATCAACGATAGTACTTTTATCAGGATAAAGTCCGATAAATATTAATCGCGGTTTATTGACATACTGGTATTTACAACGCTAAATGACTTGTATACCGCGATAGTTTTGCCTACTGCGTTTTATCGAGAGACTGCGATAAACTGCACTCACTTTTATATCGCGACAGAGTAGCTCATTATCGCGATATTTCAGCACATTTAGCATAATATCTCGATATATCGCAAGTTTTCAACAAAAATTACCCTCATGGGTACTATTTCAGGCTAATTTTTGATTATCTATTTTCCCGCGATACATAAATTTTGTAACAAAATTTGTTGTGTCATCAAACAAAGCATCACTTGAAGTATATTAATCATTATTTGAATCGTCGAAAAAAGTCGATTTTCATTTTTTCACCTAATGTCCGCCTGGATGCACACTGTGTATTGGGAGGATACAGTTTTCCGAAAATGAGTGCACTTGGAGTAAAAAAATTTACACCATTCGATAGGCCGTCAGTCGAACTGTACGTGACACTATCTGAATTCTTTAAAAGTGTACTTTGTAGAGCGTCTGTGGAAAACAAAGTTTGTGAATAAATGAGTTAAAGGGTCGCTGATCACCTGAATGTATGAGTGACACTTAATTTAGTCTGCATCATTTTCATGATGAATAATTGATTTTTGCCTGAGCTATAAATTTTTGAAGTTGAAGATTAGTCGAAAATTAATTTGATTTCTGAAAAATCGGTTATGAAGATCTTGCTTCTAAGTACATACCTATGAACTGAAGTCAGGCACTATTAATTTTACAATTCGTATAGCATCAAATATTACAATAAATATCGTCTCTCGTGCATTTTTGTTCTGATCTTTGAAATAAATATTTTAAATCACTATAAAAGATACAGTTCAAAAGACTTTAGAAATGCCCTGTAAAT